ATCTGATCGAGTTATTGAGGAAATCGAGGAAGAATTGGTCGATGAAGACGAAGAAGTTGATTCGGTAGAAGAAGAGATGAACGATTAACAATATATTTTGCTCACCTTTTTTCATTCCTTGGTCGTTATTAAAAGAATGAAATTTAAGATATTGCTCTTCTGATCATAAATATTTGTGAAATATGATGTGTGTATCGTAAGTTAACAATGTAATAACTTATGAAAGTAATATCGTGCAATCGGTAGTAGTAGGATTCTGATAGGAAAAGCGTAGCTCTATATTTAAAAAAAGTACTGTCAATTGATTCGTCATTATCGAAAGCATCAGTAATGATAGTTTGAAAAATATTTTGGACAAGGTAAAATTGACAAAAACTCGATCAAATACCGTTAGTATTTTGCTTATAACTTTTGACCAAATCGAGATAAAAATTTCGGCATTTTGCAGATTTGTAGAGCTTGAGCTGGCGATTCTAGTCCACTCCTCAAAGTTTAAAATTGATCCTATCTTCATAGAGTAATAGGCTACTCTTTCAAGGGGACCATGGATCACTAGTTACTAATGTAATGAATCTCAACAATTTTATATGAATAGATGCGTCGGATATACCTCTTTCCAACGGTGAAAATCGCAGCTTTCTATCTTGTGCCTATCAAAAGTTATTCAAAAAATACCCACCCGCCTTCTTTTTTTGGAATGGGCAGTAGTTCATCACTTTTAATTATCTCGGGTAAAAGATGGAGGTCAAATCATCAAAATTACCGTTCTGTGGAGCTTATTGAAGATGCACCAAAACTCACATTAAAGATTCTCGAGACAAGGATCTCGTTAACAAAGTTCGAATGAATTTCTAGCGGCTCGCCGTTCTCTAGAACATCGCGGCACAAACTATAAATTTTGTTACAGCAAAAACACTCAAAGTATGGAGGTCTAATGCGTACGCGATCGACTACATGAACGCTATGCTTCGCAGCACATTAAATTGACTTTCGTAAATGCTTGTGTCGTATCGATCGATATTTTTTTCTCTTTGCACATAAAGAAATATCCAACATTGTTCGAAATATACGAATAAAACATATTTCTATTAAAAAGATATTCAGCTTCTCATAGTCAATCTTCATCGAAAGCCAAAAAGTATATGTCAGACGAACTTTCACAAAAAGAAAATTACATCGCATTTAAACAAAAAACATCATTAGCCTGAATCATTGAAGAATTTTGGTAACTATAGATACTTCATGATTTTATTTATTCAATGAATGCGAACTATGTTCTAGCTTGAAGTCTATTAAAATTCGTAGTTAATGTGTACTGAAAATCATAAGAGGAAAAAAAAAGAATCATATTTGTCTAAATTGTAGAAATAATATGTTTATAAGTAATATCTATTTAAACTGATGTTGAACATTCCATATACTTTGGATTAAACGATTGAAATGGGTATTTTCTTATTTTATTACGAGAATCAATGTCGTTGGATAGTTCTTTCAATTCTTTTTTAAAAGTTTGATAATTTTGTAAATTCTGCGAATAATATCGATTACGTTCTATTAAATGACTCCAATCTTCTAATAAACCAGGCATACGTAAACCAGTAATAACTGATAAAACTAATATTTGTGAATATGTTTGAATATTTTGCATTTCTTTGCCTTGTTGTAATTTAGCACCAATGAATCGAGGATCAGTCATATAATCACTTATTTGACCAACATGTTCATGTATACCTGTACTAGCAGCAATTAATTGTGATAAAACATCAATAAAATGTTGTAATGACGTAATACCTGAAATGCCAAGTTGTTTGCATATTTCATAAATAAAATTTCTAATATATGAATCATTAGGTAAATGATCATTTCCATTATCGATTGATAAATTATAATTGATCTTGAAAAAATTCTTAACATATTTTTGTATGATATTCCAATATGCATTGAGATCATGATAGATAGGATAAATTTTGTCCCATTCATCATCTGTTCTATCATTCTTATTTGGATACATTGATTTAGGAATAAAATTTGGTACTGTACGAAATTTATAATGAATAGATATATAATCGCATACTTTAAGAAATTCATCATAATCAAATGCCCATATTCTATGTACTAAACCACCTTTGTTAACTAATGATAATGCAGCTAGATAATTAATTGATACAGTATGATAAGTAAATGGTTTTATAAAAATTCTTAATGGATGATCAGCTGGTAAATGTTTACGTGATGCACTTACAAATGCGTTAGATTCGATCATATGTGTAGAAATTAGATGATCACCTATTGTAATATATGCAAAGAATGATGAACGCCATACATATTTTGCATGATCCCAAAATTGATCATCTTTTTTAACTAAACGTGAATCATGAGACCAATAGATACCGATTATTTGAAAGTCTTTATCAAAATAAGCAGCAGCACCATAACGTTCAAATGGTTTTCGAACAGAAAAAGTTGATAAACCAGTCATATCATTTACATAGACAGCATCATTTAAAAGTTTCCCTTCTGGTATACTATGACCAGACTGTTCTCGTTGTTCAACTCTTTGAGTATAATGACATGCACATCCAGCAAAAGCTAATTGAGTCATAGCTTCATCAGATAACATATCTGTATAAACAACATTTGGTATTGGTAATGCAGGAAACATTTTTGAACGCCATGCAAGTGCTTGTTCAGGTGTATCAAATTCTATTAATGAATCACGAAAGCCCCATATGTTTTGATTTATTAACCAACGAACCAAACGTCTCAATAGTGGTGAACTATTCGGTTGATCTTCATCCCAACTTGGTACAAATTTAGCCATGTCAATACGAAACATACCTAGATCGTGTGTTGGTAAATCTAATGGTGGTTGAATATCAATAGCACGTGGTGGAAATGAATTTGATTCGTTAATGGCAAGTTGCATTAGTAGCATTACTATTTTCGTGTAATTATCTAATGCATTGTAACAATTTTGATCTCTTTCATTGAATTGATTGATATTCAAATTTGATAAAACCCATTGTCGTTCATTTTCATCGAATATTTCATTAGCAGATTTTGTTGAAACTAATGATTTTATAATCATATCTTTTTCGATTAAATGATCTAATTGTTGAGATTTATTATCATCTTGTGGATTATGTATAGTCGATGAAAAATCTAACAAGTTATATAAATATACAATATGTATTTTAATGAAAAACTACGTGATAATTAATAATCAATAGAAAAATTTACCTGCTTTCTCTGAGTCATTATTATCAAATATAGGTGGTGCAAATCGTTCAGCTACAAATTGAATAACATCAAGAGATAGATCATGTCCTGGACAGTAGCGTGGTGGTCGTTTTGTTTTATCAAGATTGATAATATCTTCTTCGACACCATTCCAAACAATGATTTTATTTAAATCAGACCTTTCTGGCATAAAATTTTCAGGATTTTGAAATATTGTCTTGTCACGATTTGCATTGACAATTGAACAATGAATAGGCGTATTTTCATAAATATTAATATTTTCATATTTCTTCTTAAATTTATTTTCAATTTCATTAGCAATATCAAACGTAGCTAAAACATTTACCATTGGTACAACTTTATCGAGTCGTGCACATTCTTTAATAAAATTATGTGGATTTTTTCGAAATAAATGAACATATTTATCTGGATTTGACCATAATCTTTCGATAACAGTTACTGCTAATTTAGATGGAGCAACACTTCCTGCAACACAAAATACCACTGTAATTAATTTTAATACTTCAGATTTTGATTTTTGATTATCTGCTGCAATAAAAGCAGCATGTAATGCTGCTCCATCAATATATCGTGCAAATGCTTGAAGTAAAGTGTAATAACTTTTTAAAGTTTTTCGTTCGAAATAATGTCCAAATAATAAGAAATTGAACCAATTTGGAAAAAATATGAATGGTGTTTCAACACAATCAATAAAAGCAGCTCGTTCATTTTTTCTTAATTCACCATTCGTCGCTAAGTAAAACATCACTTCACCAACTGCTCGATATACAACATGTTTATTCGGTTGTCCATCAATTTTACGTGGTACAATTCTAGATAAATGAAGTTGTGCTTCAGAATTTGCCTCGAATAGATGATGAGGAAAGGCATGTAACCATTTAAAAATGATATGACGACTTAATTTCATATTTGGATCATCTGATGAAAGAAATATAGTCGTTAAATCACAAAATGTTTCTTGAGACGAAGAAACTTTCCAGCCTAATGATTCTAAACCTTTACGCGGTGGAATATCTTGTATATATCGTTTTACTAATTCATACGAACCAACACCAATACCGTCACCAAATACAAAATATGGTAAATTGTAAACTTTTACAAAATAATCTTCTAATACATGAAATAAAGCATGTGGATTAGGTGCATTCAGAATATATTCAATAAATGTTGCTAATTGTAAAAGTAAAAATTTACAATACCAGATGTAATTTCTTCGAGTCATTGATGTTGTAATTAACTTTAATCTTATTGTTGCTGTAACATTACGAACATAGTCAGGAATTCTTTTGTTTGGAGTTATTTCTGAATTGGTATTTGACTGCTGTGTTGATGCCGATGAAGTTCGATAAGTAATACGACAATAAATGATCAATACAACGTAAATAGGCAAAGCAACAACGAATAAAACGAACAATCCAAGTATACCAAGTAAGAAATGATAAATTTTACGTAGAGATTTCGGGAAATTATCACCAAATCGAACGTAGTGAGGAATAAATAAATCAGTTTGCATATGATACATTTGCGATTTTTCAATGAAATCTTGATAATTATTCACATCAATTCGATCTTCAAGTTTATATTTTGTCAAGAAAGTACATTTAGCTACAATATAAAGTAAAAATCCAAATGGTGCCGCTATATAAGTTGTTAAAAGAATTAGAGTAAAAATAATTCGTCCAAATGTCCATGATCGATTGACGTAATATTTACCATTTGAATGATTTGTAATACTATAAGCAAAACTATATCCACTATAAAAATCATATACCATCCATCGACCGACCCATAAATCCATAATATGCAAATGATAAATAGTACCAATGATTAATAATGGATCTTTCAATAAATCGAACCATCCAGATAATTGATAAACATCTAATAGTGTATTATTTGAGTTTCGAAGAAATAATGTTTCCAATAATATTAATGTATACAAAAGTGATAAAAGAAAAGCTGATAAAAAAATCAAATATTTTGATAATTTATGAAATGGTGCAAATATTAATGCGAGCCATCCTATAATGATAATATTGTTACAATTAAATAATTGATCAACTGTCCACGGAATGATGATCATTATGAAGAATTACTTTGAGTTATGTATCAAAGCGTGTGCAGTTTCTCGTTTTTGCTAATGAACAAAGTACATCTAAAAACAGAATTACAAAAAAAAAACGAATGACGAACAGAATCTAGCTTTTCCTTTATCTTGATAGTAGGCGAAATTTTTTCATGTTAGTGGCAGATTCTGTACTTCTGGTGTTGAGTTTGAGTTATAGTCTTTTCTTCAGTTACACTCTCATACACATCCACTTAGGAGACATCAGTTTTTTTTCGATGTTTTTATAGTTTGGACATTTTTCCATGCCGATATTTTTTTTTCATCCTTTTTAAGGTCAAACTTCCGCAGACTGAGTTCTGAAAGATTCTGAAGATTGTATCTGTTCCAGCTTTCTGATGACATTAAATAGTAACATACAAACTTTTTAGAGCTCATTTTGCCATATTCCTATTTGACTATATTTGACGTGAAGTTACTCATTAGTGTTCGTTCAAAAGAGAAATACTAAGATTATGCCACAGTTTGACTCTTGTTTGGAGCATTTCATCACTTTTCATGTTTGTTTTCAATAAAAAGTATTCAAACGAGATAAAACTCGACATTCACTCTCTCAAAATGATTCAACATTAATACCATTCGATAGAGAATTGTATATAGCTTATGAAAAACTCTCATTAACTCTAAATAAAAGTTCGGTGTTGACAGTGTAAAAGAAAATTACTAAATGGAAAACAGAGTGTCGCATCTGAGATTCAAATTTTGCCGAGCGTTGTACCTTGGACAGACAAACAAAGATAAGCAAAAGTCTTAGAACAAAAATAATGTTAACAAAAGAAGATAGCCCGTAGACTTTTCTGCAAATGTCTATACAGGTTTCGGCAGAATTCTTCCACTTGATAAAACTTATCTCTAGAACACTAATCAAATACTCAATCAATTGTATTTGAAGTTATGTTTCGAGCTTCAATATTGTTTCAATCGTGAAGCTTTTTCATCTTCATTACTTTATATTAATCATGAAAATAATATCTAGACATTACACGGGTTTTAACTTGTTCAGACAACCATGGAATACCCATAGTTGACACATTTTCGCGCTTTACGTAGCCATACATATGGACACTATCTTCAAGATGAAGGCTAACTCATCTCGACTAGAATCAAGTTCATATGTGGTACTTACCGATAACTATTCAAACTAAACCAAGTACGACTAATCGGACTTGTATGTAATCGACTGATGAGGAACGAATTCTGCTAGTAATGGAAAATTCATATCTCATTCATTGAAAAACAGAATATTTTATGACAGAAAGTTCAAACATTGGTCTCTTAAATGAGACGTTGCGCAACAAAAAATTGTACTAGAAAAAAACGAAATATACGTGTTTCATCGTTCTACAGTACGGAATAAGTTTCATGCGCAAGAGGAGAAAAGATAATACACATAGTTGAACTAATATGACAGATTATTAGTATTAAATAACTGCAAAGGTCTAGGTCAATAGCTTAAACTATAGAGGAGAAACTGTAACAATACTATCATGCACTATTTTATGTTTTTTTCCAATTACTTGATCTCATAAACTGCGATACAAAAATGTAGGAGAAAATTTTACTTTCGAGATCTCTTTATGAAACGCACGTTAAAACAAAAAATATTTCCTATGCGAATATATTTTCATTTCTGTGAATGTCAATACAGGAAATAGAAAGGTTAGCAACAGAAAAAAAACCAGCTAAAAAAATTAAGTAACTGAAAAATTGATAAAATAGTGCGTGATAATATTATTACAATTTCTCATCGATAGTAAAAGGTATCGAGCCGAAACTTTGTAGCTACTTACCACTAAGTAGGTAATATCATCCAACCAAATTTCAAAAACTTTGTTTTTGTAGGGTATAAGAACAATGAGTTTTAAAATCGTTTCAGAACTTCTGGAACATATCTGAAAATGGCAGACGAGAAACACAACATACGTACAAAATAGAAGTATCAGAACGACATTTATTCTCTTCGTCTATCTGTCATCATGCTCTTTCATCTTAATATGACCGATTGGTCATTTTTCTCTCTTCTAAACACATAGTTCGATTATAAAGAAGCTAAATATAGAATAGATACAAGAAACTAAGAAATGTATCGCTTCAAAATAAAGAAATGGAATGATGATAAGCTATTGCAATGTAATAGATTATCATGTTTATGTTCTTATTATGATATTAACAAGACAAAACTCTGAAGAATGAGATTTAATGCCTTTTTTCTTCATGGCATAAAATCAGTAGACGAATGGATAAATATCAATGGGAAAAACAAATATCTAAATATGTAGACGCCAGTGGTGTATTGAAACGATCATTAGCAAGAAAAAAAGAGGGAAATCTGCATCGAAATGATAGCATGGAAATAATATTCGTTGTTTTTCTGTTTCTGTCATAACTCTTGTTCTTGTACGAGACCGAATGGTACTTGTGTTTCAAGCACAATCATACGGATGGAAAATAGCTAATTAGAAAAGAGAAGAAAAAGATTCTACCTAATTCAAACACGTATACTAATGGTTATAAACGGTCGGAAAGATACATTATCACATTTATATGTTATCGTCAAGAAAAACAATTGCGATGAGTCAAAACTTTCTAAATCGTTTTTCTTATGATGTACAGCGAATGTAAGAACGATAATGATGGAAGAAAAATGAATTCATTGAGAAATATTCATATTGATATCATCATCCTGAGTCAAACTTTTTTTTCATGTGCATAAAGAACTTGAATATCTTCTTGTTTCATTAGTTAATATTCTTACTCATGCACTTGAATTTTGCCCAAGTGTTAGTGTTTATTTGTTTAAGAGAATATAATGTGCTTGAATATTAGAGAAGTCTTTTTCTAATGGTTGATAATTATCTCCTCGATGTAAATGTCAGTAGCTGTCAATTAGTTAACGTTGATAGTACATTAACAAACAACAATTCAAAAAAAATGAATAATGTAGTTGGTTTTTTTACAAGAATAACGTCATATCTGCCTTCACTTTAATGAATGTTAATCATATGTACAGTCACAATTAAAATATTGATTGTAAAATTTTGGTCGATTACTCTATTTTAACGAACTTATTAAAGATATGAGAGGAAAATTCAATCGTAAACAACCATTGAATGAACTTAAATTGTTCATTGAATAGACAGCAGATAAGTGGAGATTAATGTTTTGTTCTTGTTTCTATTGTTTTCAAGACAGAATTGTGCTTTTCAAATGATTGAACAATTAACAAATTATCTTTAGTCAAGAATTTCCAAATTTAGAAAAGTTTCATTCTCCATGTGATTCTGATTTGATCTATCAACTGTATTCAAACGCTAACAACAAGATTTGTTTTCTAAAAAGAAAGATCTATTCGAGAAGGTGAAAAAGTACGAAGCAGATGATTATTAGAATTTCATTCATAAGTTTATAGAACTTTTCATTTTGATATTTTTATCAGCGAATCAAAACTGGTTTATACATCATATCCCAAAAATCACCTATCAAACACAAACGTTGATTATATCTATTGTGCTTTAATAACAAGAGCTGAAATTCTCTTTGGTGATAGAGAACAGCTTCAATTGACTGATGTACAAAAAATTTGTTTTTTCCCGTACTTTGAAAGGTTCTTACGAGGAACAAAGAAAGTTCTTGAGCCTATATTTTGTTCAGTAGTAGTAGATCGTTAGAATAAAACAACCTCTACAAAATTCATAATCTTGTTGTCTTATGATCGAATTATTGAATCTTTCGTGAATACTTTCTTCTAGGACTCTCTAGCGGCATTATAGATCTCTATTAGAATTGTTTGTGTACTATGCTTCAGGATTTCCGTGTATAGTTTCTATTGAGTTGATAGCTTTGATCAGTATTCATTCATTTTTTTTTCAGAAGAATAGGAACTTCAAACTGTTTGCAATCACTGAACAAAAAATTAGCTTATGTGCTTAAAATGCATTGCACATGGATAATTTTTGTTTTCATGAGTGAATTCTATGATGCCGTGTACGCTGTTTCGTACAAAAGAACGATCTGAAAGTGCGAATTTCGCTTTTAAAAAATATGGTTCATTCATACTTAAATGGAGAGCTATGAATGATGCAAGACTTTCAAAGGATGGGTAATTGATATGTTCAAATTGCGAGTGTCACATTCTGTCTTATACAGGGTGGCGCAAAAGTCACTTTACCCAAAAAAAATTGAATATCTCCTTTAGAGCTCAAGCAAATGAGCTGACTTTTCTATCAATGATAGAGGCATGTACAAGCTTTATATCCATAAAGGCATGCCTAGAGAGACTCTTTGTTAAGTATCGCTATTGACCTCAATAAGAAAAATTTTATTTTTTCACAGATAAAAAAAAACAGTATACTTAACAGAGGGTCTCTCTAGGCATGTCTTTATGGATATGAAACTTGAACACGCCTCTATTGTTGGTAAAAAAGTCAGCTCGTTTGCTCGAGCCGTGATGGAAATATTCAATTTTTATTTTGGTAAACTGACTTTTGGACCATCCGGTATATGGCCCAAAAGTCACGATACCACAAAAAAAATTAAATATCTCCGCTACCGCTCGAGCAAACGGACTAATTTTTTTACCAATAATAGAAGCATGTTCACGCTTTAAGCCCATACGGATAATATTAGAGAGAGCCTTTATAAAGTACCACTAATGATCTCAACAAGAAAAATTTTACCTTTTCACAGATAGGATAGTAAACAATATACTTAACAGAGGATCTCTCTAGGCATGTCTTTAGGAATATAAAGCTTGAACACAACTCTATCATTGATAAAAGAATCAGCCCGTTAGCTCAAGCCATAGTAGAGATACTCAATTTTTTTCGACAAAGCAACTTTTTTTTCTAACTGTGAAAAAGTAAATTTTTTTTGTTGAGGTCAATAGTGATACTTAACAAAGAGTCTCTCTAGGCATGCCTTTATGGATATAAAGCGTGAACATGTCTCTATCATTGATA